CATCCACCACACCCTGTATTTTTCTTGGCACTCAAGACTACTGAAGTCCACTTTATGTACTTTCACATTCTCAAATAAAAACTAAAAGTGTTATAAAGTGTGCATAAGCATCTTGTGAGATAATTTTACCATTTAACCTAATTGGAAAAAAGACTTCCTTACCACAATTTTCCTAAGAGGAAGTATTAAACTTCCTTTTAAAGTTAAATGAAAGGAAACATACACTCTACACTGTTCTAAAGTCTAATGAGAACATTTCTTGAGCCACTGATGACTACTGACAATCTAAGAAATGCCATGTATCTTTGAGATGAGGAAAAGTCTCCACATTACAATTCTCAACCCATCAGAGCCACTCCCAATGTGCCTGAAAATGATCTGGACTTAACCAAACCTGTTAGTTGGAGGTCACAGTGATATTTGTATTAACACTTTATACTTCTATTGTTTCAAGATTAGAAGGAATTTGTCTTGATTCCTCTTATTTCAAATCTTTAAACTCAACATTATAGGCACAGAGTGTAAGCAAATCTGGGATGTTCTTCAACAGATAAGCAATAGCATAACAATGTTATTTTCAAAAATACTGTCTAGAAATTCTTTCATATATTATCAACGCTCAATGGTCACACTTAACAATCTGTATTAGTTGACATTAAATACACTTAAAGTGTTACAAGTCCATCTAAACTGTTTATGTAATTTTGTATGTCCAAGAGAAAACACTTGCTTCAGGTTTATTTAGGAGTACTGGCTTATAAGGACATAACTTCATTTATAAGGTTACACTATTATTGGGCTTACTGAAACACAAGAGAAGAAAACCAATTATAACAATTTTCTTTAGGTCAGTTAAAGGCCATATTTCTAGCTGGGATATTGAAACAGTTCATTTCACCAGCCCATACTCTACAAGTTAATGCCTCTAGTAACAAGATTAACAGCATGAAAGAAGGAAAAAAATAAAAAAACAAACCAAAACAAAGAACATCTGCTAACAAGCAACCCACTCATCAGCTAAATAGCAGTTTAACTCAAATACTTTGATCAAAGTCTAATACTACCTACACAAACTGCCCCAGGAATCAGCAAATAGAGAGAAAAACTGCTTTAAAACCTAAATAAGTTTTTTAGTATTTTCTCACAAGGGTAACAATGGTCCAACTCCTGAGAGTGCTTGAAGGACGAAAGGTAGAGTGAAGGCAATGTCAGGGATTAGCATCCCACAGATAGTCTTTAATACTCAAAGTACCACAAATACACTAAGCTTGTCTATGAATTAGAGAACAAGATATTGCTGCTGCTTCTTTTTGTCTTTTGAAATAAACAATATTGTAGGCTCTGCCCTTCAATGTGAAAGCAGGATGCTAAAAAAATAGCTAAAAATTGCAATCATCTGACACCCAATTTTGGGGACATCTTAACTGTATACAAACCTATCTTCTCCTGCCTTCAACCTAACTACCTCACAAAAATAAGAGAACTAAACAATCCAAACATGATCATGTTTAAGAGTTCTTGAAATTATTAAAAACTTTAAGAGGAGAGAAAGGAAGAATAACAAGGGAGGAAAGCTGAAGAAAAAGGGGAGGGGAATCAATGGGTCTTTCTTTATTTGGCGACAAGCAAGTGCAAGAAAGTTCATTTGTAATTTGTTCAGTTGTCTGTCTTTTGTGTCTCTGCATTCTGACCAGATGGGACTTTGAGGTTTTTCTGAAGCACATGAGCATCTGCAGGTTCTATCCTCTTATAGTAGTTCTTCTTTGTCTCAATAATCTCAAAGCCAAACTTCCTGTAGAAGTCAATCGCTGACTCATTGCTGATCTGGACATGCCTGAGATACAGGGTATATATACACAGATACATATATAAGACAGTTTCACCAACTTTCAAATTTTTTAACCAGAGATAGCTTCAAATTGGTCAGAGGTGGAATTTCACAGACATTTTGTACATTATCTTTACAATGACCAATATTTAACAAAAGTTACTATTTTACAATTTTAAACTAATTCCCCCACTTGCAAGGCAGATGGCTGAGATTAGGAGGACCAGTGTTTATTCTTATACTTAACAAAGTTAAACCATCATGAGGCTTCCAGAGGACCAGCATTCTGTTCCCAGCACTGCCATCAAGGAGCTCACAACCACCAGTAACATCAGCTCCAGAGACTGTTGATGCCTCTAGCATCCTTGGATACCCTGTAATCATGCACATGCCCCTCCCCACAAATATACACACCAAAAACAACAACAAAAATACACTCCAGTCTCAACTGTCTAAATATATCTTCTTGAGTTTTTTTCATTACTCTTCAGAACATAATATTCTGCATAATATGAAAACAATTCATTGTTGTGATTTCTGTCTTAGTTCTGCATGTTTGTTGGTTGGTTGGGTTTTTTTTTTTTTGAGTCAGTGTCTCTACCTGGCTGCCTTGGAATTCACTATGTGTAGAGCAGGTTGGCCTCAAACCCAGGGGAATCCACCTGCCTCTGTCTCCTGAGTGGAAACAAGCTCTAGGATTAAAGACATGAGCCATCATGCAAAGTTGTCTTAGATCTTTATATTATGGCCTTCTGAGACTCTTGGTTTCACCAGATTCCTTACATATAATTAAAACCAAATTATAACAAATGATTCATCACAACAATTTTCCACCCACAATTCACCAACCCGGAATTAAAAATAAAGTTGAGCTCAATAAAAATCAATTAAAAATTAATAAAAATGAAGTTGTCCTGAACAGAACATATACACCATTCTTCATTATTCCCTAAACAATACAACATAATAAAAAAATTCTGTAACATTTTCTTTTGTCTAGGCACCCTTAAATAAACTAGATCAGTTTAAAGAACGTGGAAGGATAGAATAGGTCATCTGTAAATAGTATGCCACCTTTATATGGATTTAAATAATGTGCTTTGTTTCTTTTCTAAAATTTATTTATGGGCACTGCTGTCTGCAAATATGTCTGTGTACCACTTATGTATCAGAGGAGGGTACAGGATTCCCTGGAACTAGAGTTTCAAATGTTTTTGAGACACCATGTGGGTGCTAGTAATGGAACTAGGGTTGTCTGGAAGAACAGCCAACATTCTTAACTGATGAACTCTCTCTAACTTTCCTTTTATATCTCTATTGCTATCAAGGGACAAGCATACCTTCATCAAATATACAATGAGTGAGTAGATTTCAAAGTTTCTTGATAGAGATTTAAATAAATAATTTATGAACACTTAGATGAACATTAGGTACTTACAGATAGATGTTGTCAAAAGTGCCATCTTTCTCACAGATGTTTAGGACATGATTTAGCATTTTAGTTCCTATCAATAAGACAAAAATAAATAAGTAAATAAATAACTTTACAAGTCAACCTTGAAATTTGACATCTACTTCCCACCTTTTTCCCCCCAAGACAGGGTTTCCTCTGTGTAGCCTGGCTGCCCTCAAACTCACGAAGATCCAATTGCCTCTGCCCCCTACCCCCCGAAAGTGCTGGGATTAAAGGCGTGCACCACCACCTAGCTCTACTTTCCATCTTTACTAAGACCTGAACACAGAACCAGAAGACAACTAGACGTCCATACTTATATATGAATGAAACAGCTCCAGACTGATAAAGAAATCAAATCTACAGGCTTCCAAGAGAATACTAAGCAATAGTTTTCATTTTACTTTTCACAATTTACTTCCCAGTTTCCTTTCCTTTTTTGGAGGGGGTGTGAGGGGAGTTAATTTTCTGAAACAGAACTTCTCAGTTTCGCCTTGGCTTTCCTCAGTCAATCACTCAAAGATCCAGCAGATTAAAGACACACTCCACCAACACCTGGCTTCCTAGTTTTCTTAAAATAACAGAACAAAACACCACATTATTTTACCTATTCCTAGTCTTCGGTAAGGTGCAAGGCATCCTAGTGTCATGATGTAAAGTCTCTTTTGATTCTGTGAATGGTCCACCCTGCAGCACACCGCACCTACAGCTATATCATTGAAATATGCTGCCACAAAAAATACAAAGACGTAAATTATAACATTTTATTTAATCAGCTCCTTTTAAAAACAAATAAAAGTTGTTATAGGCATCAGATTTTAACCAATTACTCTTATGAAAATATCAATGACCTCAAGACTGACATTGTCTGGATAAGGTTAAGCTTTCTCTGTAATAGTTAAATTGTGATAAACACGCAGGCTCACAGTAAATAACAGACAACATTTTGGAGCCAGGGAGTTGGCTCAGCAGAGAAAGGTACCTGCCCCAAGCCTTGAAACCTAAAGTTCAAGTGCTGGAACTTACAATGTGGAAGGCTAGAACTCACTCCCTGAAGTTGTTCTCTTATGTCCATATGTAGTCATGTGTAGCGCGTGTGCCTGCGCATGCACACACTCACACTTTTTGTAAAGAACATTAAGTATTAAGTATTTGCTTTCAAAAGTCAAATATTCAACACTGATCTTTCTCAAAAATCTGTAACATTTTAACTCTCTTGCTTATAAAACTAAGGAGCCTGTATTAATTGCTCTAGTATTAACAAGCATAGTTTGAGAATTCAAATTTTAAAAAGGAAGAAAGACATACCAAGTTTTGCTAGCTCGCCAACCTCTAGCACATCCTTGTAGAATTTATCATTATAGCTGACTGGAAAGATGACTTGGTTCAATCTCTTCAACTGTTTAATATTGTGTGGTGTCACATCCCCCAATTCGATCCGGCTACTGGAACAAACCAAAATGTACTCAATAAAAGATAATTAACTTGATTAAGATAATATTAAAAGGGTACCAGTCATTTTTGCATGACTGACAAATGCAACCTTTCTTATTACTTTATATTCTTAAAAGACTACCACTTATAAGCAAATTTTGTCAAATGTTCAACCAAAATTCTACTTAGAGCTTTTTCTACAAATATACACATTTAGGGACAAATAAAAGTACACACTAACCAATAAGGCCAGAATATTATCCTTTATTAAATCCTAAAACTGTTCTTCTAGTTTATAGTTTAAAAACGCAGATATAGCTATTATTGATCAAACAAAGGGATAGGAAATGGCACTAAAGATGAGAATATAAGTTGATACACTATTTCTTGAGACAATCCAGCAGTAAGCACTGAGAAACCTGCCCATCTCCTTTGCTTACGTAAGCAGAAAATAAGTCAATTGTGAAAACTTATTCACATTTATCTGTTGAGAACAGTGATCCAGTAACAGTATCAGTGGTGAGTGATATTAAGGATTCATATTCCAGCACATCTCACAGTTTCAGCACGGGAATTTCAGAAAAACAGAACAAGTACTCAGGGACTTCAAAAACTAAGGAATTAAAAGAGAGCTCAAGATTTACTGGTAATGAAACTGTTGTGCCCTGAAAAGTAGTCCACAACATCAACTTCTAATAGCTCAAGTAACTTTCACTACATACTAAAAATAAATCTGTTGAGGCAAACCCTGCTGGAAATCTACACAACAGTTCATTCCTAGTACTACCAGCACTACCAGCAGACATTTGAAGACTCTTTTCTTGTGCTGGAGATCATGCTAGGTAAGATTAGTTTTTATTTATTTTTTTATTTATATTTATGAATATTTAGTCTGTATGAGTGTATGTATATTTGAGCCTCCTGACCATAGTGGTGTCAAATCCCTGGAACTGCCATATGGGTGCTGGGAACCAAGAGTAGTTAGGTGCCCTTAACTGCTAATAACCTGTTCACAGTAGATGGCATAAACAATAAAAAGTACTAAGACAAAATAAGCATTAAGGCCGGGTGGTGGTGTCACACATCTTCAGTCGCAACACTCGGGGACAGAGGCCAGTCTGGTCTATGGAGTGCATTTCAGGATAGTCAGGACTGTTTCACAGAGAAACCTTGTCTCAAAAAACATAATAAAATAAAATAAAAAATTAAGACATCCAAGAGGTTGGAAAAAGAAATGTAGTTCCTACTTGGCAGCAGCTGGAGACCACAGAGCATTATATAGCAAACAGCAGTGAAATGCAATGTATGCATGTACGGATATACTGTATTTGGAGTATGAACACCGTTAAAATACAGTATCACAGAACATTTTATGAAGAAAAGAACACCCCTACTTTATGTGCAGCAACCCACCCTCAGTAAATAGAGACAAAAAATATTTGAAAGGATTACTTTCAAATGCTTAGTAAAAATTGTGGACAAGTTTAATTTCTGAAATGTTGAACAAAAATAGCAACTGAAAATTGTAACAGGACCAAGGAAAAAAATTCGTAAAACCAATATATGTTCTGGTTCCAGGTTGTTTAGCTAGAGCATTAAATTTCTTTATATTAGTGAGCAAAATGTTATCTGAATTTGACATTACAGAGTAAAGTACCTTAAAAGATTCTAACTTGAGACAAGGCCCTGCATCATTTATTCCTGTCATAAAACACAAAGCACTTATTTCACTTTTCTTTTTTTTATTTTTTGGACAGGCTCTCACTATGTAGCCCTGACTTTCCTGGAACTCTCTATATTGTCATGGCTGTTCCTTAACTCAAGAGTTCAACCTGTCTTCACCTCCAGTGCAAACACATGCACACCAGGTCAAGCTAGTTTGCTTTTCATTCATCCAAAGTTCTATGTGACTTACCATGCTGTTTTATCAGTACAAAATTCATTCCAATCCTGCTTAGTATCGAGTAGTAGTACCTCACTGAAATACCATGGGTTGAAGCCTGAATGCAAACACAGAGCTATATACTTATCTCTTGAAGGGCTTTGGATTGTTTACTAGGTTTTAAAGATTTTGAAAAAAGTTAGTATAAACATTCGGTGCATGCTTTTGTGGCCACATATGCCTTAATCTCCTTTTACTAAATACCTAGGAATGAGAATGGTGAATTTTAAGGCTAACATGTGTCACAATTCCAGTTTTCCTGTATTCTCATGAACAGCTGTCACTTTCAAAACTAAGGTTGTTCTAAGTATGCTATTTCTGTGCAATGGTACCTTAACTATGGTGAAAGATGGTGATGACCCATATCATTTCTTCCTATACATAACCTCAAAGTATAACTTACGTATCACAAAATATACCTTTTAAAAATACAGATTTTGGGCTAGAGCACTTGTTGTTCTTGTAGAGGAGCTGGGTTTTGATTCCCAGAACACAAATGGCTCACAACCAACCATAATTCCAGTTCCAGGGAACCAAATGCCCTTTTTGAATTTCCGTAAGTACCAGGTACACACATCATGCACAGACAAAAAAGTAAGTAAAAGCACACATATAACTTTTTTATAAAATTAATACTTTTGCATAAATTCACCTTTGGAACAGTCAGTACCATCACATCCAAAGGCGTTTATACAATCTTTTTTTCTAGCCCGTCATCAATGAATCTATTTTCTCTTTCTATGAGTATTTGCCTTTTCTGGATAAAAGACCATGAATTCAAAGGCTTAAAGCAAAAAATCTGTTCATTTATAGTTCAGGTGGTTAGAAATCGAAGAATACTTTCAATAGCTCACAACCTCTCAGCTCTAGGAAAGAATCCTTCCTTATCTATTTTAGTCTGTGAGAGCTCTAAGCATTTCTTGGCTTGGAACAGTATAACTTTATAATCTTTCCCCCTTCATCACAGGTCAGCATCTATCCTCTCAGATGCACATTAGTCACATGACTTAGGATAAACCCTAATCCAAATGACCTCTTAATTTCATTACCAAACTTCTATTTCTAAATAAGGCTACATGCTGAAATTCTATGTAGGCACGAATATTTGATGGATACTATTTAAATTATTATACCTGCCAAAACTTTGATTTTAAGTTCAGTGAGAAGCATTTTTAGACATCTGAACCTAAGACATATTGTGTTACTTTTTAACCATGAAGCCTGAAGTCACTGTAAACTGGTAATATAAAATTAATGCTAGGTTGTCTCTCACCAATAATGTATTAAGGGATTCTATGTTTTTATAGCCTTGATAGTAATTTTTACTGATTTAGGATTGATCCTACTTATTAGAGATGAAGGTTCATCTGCACTGTTTTTACTGCTTGAAATATCAACCAAAAGGAAGCAATGCTGTTGAGATCAGGTATGCCCTGCTCTAAGTGACTCCATATTGGTGAAACAGGTTTTTCAGGATGAGCTGCCTTGAGGAGTTCCATTTTGAGAGAAAAAAGAATGACTATAGGCCCTAGGGCCAGTATACCTGTAAGGAATTACCTACCTAGCACAAATTGGGAGCACAAAGGGAGTAAATTCCCCATGTATATTGAGATGGTACAGAAATATGAATATTAACTACAGACATCAGGGAAAGGGGTATAGTTTCCTATTCTAAGTCCCATAAAGTAATGGACACCCAACACTGTGATGACACAGTCCCACAGTGACATACACCTTACATATCAGCGCAAATGTATAAGTGTGGGGAAGGGCAGAGATCAACAGGCAGGACTCAGAATTCAGAGAGAGAGAGAGAGAGAGAGAGAGAGAGAGAGAGAGAGAGAGAAGGATCAACAGGCACAACTCCAGACTGTCCCTGGAGCTTTGGTTTGGTTTCCCTATCTACTCAACCACCTTCCTGTGTCCACCTTTCCACATTTGCTGTGTCAAGACTCTGCTCAGCCTCCCAGTTTGAAGATAAACTTGCAAAATGGACCCTAGCTGTAAGTTCCTGGTTTAGTTTGCTATTTGCTCACTTCTGAAACCTGAATTTTGCTGTAGCCTCTCTAACTTGTGCTCATTATGCAAACCATATCTATACATATAGATATATAGGCCTATTTGCTGTAGTCTAGGTAATATAAGCCAACATCGACAATTTGGTTGGGAATTAAAGAACTTACATTGGTCAGACAAGGTGGCACACATCTTTAATACCAGCACTTGAGAGGCAAAGGCAAGGGGATCTCAGCGAGGTCCAGGCCATCCTGGTCTCTATGGCAATTTCAGAGCAGCCATGGGGCTATACAAAAGATCTTCTCAAAAACAAACAAACCTCTTGCATTCACTTTAGACAGACTACCGGGCAAACTGCTGCCACTGAAATCACTGAACCTTGTGAACTTAATGTTACTCAATGAATTCTGACATTGTAGAATGACAGAAATGTCTTTAAGGGAGTTGGGAATGGGGAAGACAGACAAACACCTACAGCACTTTCCTAACAAAAACCTTCACATTTTAATTTTCAACATCCAACTCTATCAAGTATTCCAATTGTTAAGTCTGTTTTTGGTGTGTCTCTGTACAACAAATACTATGTGTACTTATATTGGTATGGCTATTTGTATAGAAATCCAGGTGCTTCCACTGAGTGAGCCTTCATCCTCAAAATTTAAAACAAATTTACTGGCAATATTCTGAAAGACCACAAGATGGAGATAAGACTCTACAAGAAATGTTCTCCCCAGCCTCAAGGTCTGAGTTACACAGCAAAAACAAAATGCAGGGAAACTCCCTATACCTGCTTATTCATTCAATAGGTACAGTATAGCTTGGCACAAAATTTTAACTAGTTATTTTTTGTTCAGAATTTCATGCTGAAGGTGCTTTAGAATCCACTGGGTCCATTCCACTTCCCTTTATAGAGATAAAACCAAAACTCCAACAGAGAATATGCTCGTAGTAAACAGTATAAATAAAGCTAGAAATCAAGCATTTCTAGGAATTTTTATTATAATGAGATCAGCCCTATCATAGTCCCTCAAAGGAGTCATCTTTGTTTCTTAA